AAAATAAAATAAAATAATTTAAAATAAAATAAAATAATTTAAAATAAAATAAAATAATTTAAAATAAAATAAAATAAAAACTAACCGAATTAAAAAATAATTAAAAAATAAAAAAATAATTAATAAAAGAAAATAACTATGTTTAACCAGGGGCAAATTACCTCCCCTAATTATTTTTTGGGTTAGGGTTAGAAATTAAGAATAATTTTTTTTTATATAAAATAATATAGAGCTAATATAAGGTCCCAATCTCAGTTTTAGTGAGTTTTCAGGGTTCTGAACATTTTTACTTAGAAGACCCGAACCCGTTTACTTAGTATGTTTTTGAAATATAGCACCTCTGGTGAATTTCCCCAGTTAAAAATAGCAATTCTCTTAAAAAAAACGATAAAAAAAATAATAAATAAAAAAAATAATTTAAAATAAAATAAAATAATTTAAAAAATAAAATTAGCTGAATTAAAAAATAAAAAAAAATAGTTAAAAATTTAAAAAAAAACGATAAAAAAAATAAAAAAAAATAAAAAATAACCCAAAATTTTAGTTCCTACTTGGCTGTCCTCTCGTATATGTCAGTTTGTAATGAAACGATTCATGAAAATTTGCTGAAAAAAAGAGCTTCCGAAGTGTTTTTTTTATTCGATTGTGAAACTGGTATTAATGAGTAAGAAGAAATATTTAAATAAACTTTTACAGAAATAACAATTCAAACCAATTATTCGAATCAATACTTTTTTACATTAATTTTTAAGCATTCAATAGAGACAAAATTTGTATTAATCAATTATTAGCTAGAAACTACTTGATAAGGTCAGATTTAAGATTATATACTGTTGGTATGCAATTTTTTTTTAATGTAATCACATAGCAATTATTAACAATATTCAAATTATTAATAGTTAATAATTTTTAGTGATTGTTTTATTATTAATTAACTCTCAAAAATCTAATGCCTAAAGTTATAAAAGTTATAATGATGTATATAAAGATTACTACATTCCTGGTTTTTAGAGCTTTATATTCATCTAATCCTGGATTGTATTACATAGCTATTTATTATAGTATTACAGTATTGTATTATAAGATGCTATAGTATTAAGATATTACGGCACTACGGCACATAATATTTATGGCATAATTAATTTTACCATATGGTAGATTCCGTAATTCTACCACCAACACTATAAGGGACTCAATGGAGACAATTTCAGTATTGATGATGTAGTGAATGGTTTACTTTTTTCTTTCGGGTGAATAGTACCTTTTTTATCTTATTTGTCAAAAAATTTGATTCTCTAAAAATAAAGGTAATATATCAGTAGAGTTTCTTGGCTGTTTTTTTTTTTTGATGATGATAATTAAACTCAAAACTGGACTAATCGTAACGTGACTGTAAAAATCCAATACACAATATTCCTACTGTAAAATGTAAAGATCATAGTTAATGTACTTTACACATTGCTAATTATATTGCTAATTGATGTACAATAATTCAAAGAGCCGCTGATATACAAGGCTAATAATTAATAAAAGTTAATATATATAGTTTATGGACTGCACGAGCTAAATAGCACCCAACATCGTGGAAGCCCAAAGACATCCAAAGTGAAGATCATGGTCAATGCACTTCACGATGTAACCAGTGTCATGACAGTACAAAGCGCCTTAATGCACAAGTTATAGATTATAGAAATCCCAAATGTGCAAAAATTATAGATCGTGCAACCAAATAGCCCCAACAATACGATAATAATTAAAGGAACTTAAAATCTAATGATTTCTAACATGATGAAGTGCAATGTTAATAGATTATACAATTCGAAATAGCCCCCAATGCTACAAGCATGCTTTATAGATTATACATTCAGTAAGCAGGCTGTTAAATTCAAAAGGTTTCAACATAATGAGCTCAAAGAATAGTAAAAATATACCATAACAATCATGGTTAATGGATGTAAGAGTACAAAGAGCTATTAATAAACTGTACAAACTATAACTTATCATGAATATTGTCAATGGGATCTTAAAGGGTTATTGGTTTTAGTCCACGTTATCAACATGTGATTTTCTCATAGGTACATTAAATTTTCTACTTTGTAAATTTGCAGTTTTTACCTTTATGTGTTGCTTTCGTTGCTTCTTTATATTTTATTTTTGAAATAAAATAAAAATGTAAGGTAGGAAATAATTATGAAAAGTAAGGTAGGAAAAAGTATCAAGCTGAATAACCACGAAGAAAAGAAAATCAAAATAACTATTTATAAATTATATCATGCATGCCGATCTTTGTCAAAACAAAGTAATTCTGGTCAAATTTGCAGATCATTTGGCCTTTGGGAGACGTAATTTGCAAATTTGACCAGAATTACTTTGTTTTGATGGGGTAGCAATTCCAATTTGCTGGTAACACAAACCAAAAAAGGAAATCAAACTTTGTAAATAAACTTTAATCACTAATTTTTGGGTATTTTCGCTTTCTTTTCTTTTTTTCTTCTTTCGCATATGTTTGAATTCTATGTAAGGCTGATCCAGAATACCCCAAATTTGTGTTCTCTGATTGGCCATTTCCTTTTTAAAGGTTTGTATTACTGGCGCAAATAAGTGAATGCGGTAAAATCAGCAAAAAAGTTTCAATCAACATGTGATAAATATGTCGAGCATCAAAAAAGTCATTTAACTTAACAAACAAAAAATTTACAGACTAAAAAATAATGACGATAAGCAATAAATTAATCATTTTATTATTTCAAATAAACTCAATAAACATAATATTTATTACTGTCATAAAGTATTATTATTACGATTTTATCGATCCATTTGGTACTATTTGGATTAATCATGTTTCTTCAATAATTTTTTTGTTGCGTTCTGGATTCAGAATAATAAAACAAATAAGTAATCAGTTATAGTCTTTCAGAAGAGTATTCAAAATAAGATTTCTGGTATAATTGCATTTGCCTGATTAGTTTTTATAATTTTATTTCTTTTTTCGTTTATTATTAGTGGAAATTTGGTTACGATGAACAATATGTATTTTTAAAAATTTAATTTTATGTTTTTAAAAGATTGCAACAATCACTTTACATTTTGAAGAATTGAAGAAAATAAAACAATTAATACTTTATTAAATATTATTATCATGATTCTAATCACTAGATTTTCGAAACTTTTTTAGGTAGCAATTTTGGATCTGCTTTACTTTACCGACAGCTTACATAGCTGACATCACGCCAAGTGACAATTGACTAAAAATATATACCTGCAATTAATAAAATGCTAATCCTAACCCTATGTAATGTCAGCCAAGTGAACTTTCGGTTACAGCTATTTTCATAATTCCTGGAACACCTGATAAAAATTGGCCAAATAATTTTTCGGCCGATTCGATTAAGTTTGTAATTTCGGCATTATCTGTATAATAAAAACCATTTTTGATTTATAATTACTGTTTCAGACCGTTGTAATAATAATGTCAACATTATAAACTTATGTTTAATGTATTAAATTAAGTCTTAACAAGAAATATAAAAAATGCACTATTTATTAATTAGACTTTTATAATAAACATATTGCATGAAATACATAAATAAATATTATTTTTATTTGTATATACAAGTTGCAAGTTGGTTCAAATTGTGGTTCAGTGAACGTGGTTCTGAAAGTGACAGAAACTTTTTAATACATCCATATTTTTGAGAGTGATTAAGAACCCGGCTTATAAGATATGCTAAACCTAAGTGTTTGGTAATTTTTCGAAATGATATGCCTCTAAATTTTTTTTAAAAATATTTTCCAGCGAAGTTGTTTTGAAAATATCATATTTCTATAATCTACCAGAGATAATATTTCATTACGGCAAATTTGTAAAATACCCAAGATTTGAAAAAATTTGATTACTTATTGTGAGCCATTTAATTGACTTCACATATATGTAATGTTATTATTTGATATAACAATGATTTACTTTTTAAATTTTCTGTCCATAAAATACTGTTAAAGTTACTGACGATCATTGAAAACTAATAAATTGTACATTCGTACATAGTTTGCGCTAATGGGAAAAATGAGTTAAACGTATTGTTAAACCAGAGTGCTAATAATTTTTAATCTTAAAAAATAAATAATAAATTTTGTCCTTAAAACTTAAATTTGGGGTCCAAAAATTAGTCAAATTTGACAAATCTACCATAATGTATATTAGTATCTGACCTTAATTACGTATATATACGTGAATTTTATTGAATCTATCATGCCGAAATCACAAACTTAATCGAATCAGCTGAAAAATCATTTGGCCAATTTTTATCAGGTGTTCCAGTAATTATGAAAATAGCTGTAAATTTAAATAAAAATGTTAAAGAGACAAATTTGCATATATAAAAGCATCTTGAACCAACCCTAACCTAATGATAGGTTAAAGTAACCTATTTAATTTAATAAGAATCTGCCTCATTAAACATTCTCTATTTTAAATTTAATTCAATAAATACAATGTGATGCATAACAAAATAACAGTACAATACATTATTTGTATATAAAATTTAGCCTAGAAAATATTCTGTTACACAAGTAGTTTATATTGCAATTTATGATGGTGCTCTTGTTTTGATTATTTTGACAAAGACTGACAGATTGAATTAACAAAGATCAGCATGCATGAAGAGTTCATGAATATATAAATCTTAGTTATTTCTGTTTTTCTTTTCTTCATGATTATTTTCATATTTTTTTTCTATTTTTTATAGTTATTCTATTTTCTCTCTTATAAATATATTCTACCTTACTCTCTTATAATTCTTTTCTATATTATTTCAAAAGTTCAAAAAGAAGATATGAAAAAATATCACACAAAGATAAAAACTGCAAATTTACAAAGTAGAAAATTTAATATATCTATAAGAAAAATTGTTTGCTAATAACATGAACTGAAAACTATTAACTTCCTAAAATCTATTGATGATATTCATAATAAATTATTGTTTGCACAATCTGTTAATAGCTCTTTGTACTCTTAACTGTCAAGTTGGAGTGTAAAGTCTATGCTAATAGCATTGGAGGCTATTTCGAATTTACAATCTATCAACTTTGCATTTCATTATGTTATATATTAGATTTTAAGTTCTTTTAATTATTATTATATTGTTGGGATTGTTTGGTTACACAATCTATAATTTTTGCACATTTGGGATTTCTATAATCTATAATTTGTATATTAAGGCTTTTTGGACTATTATACATACTAGTTACAATATAAAGTCCATTAATCATGATCTTTACAATGAATACTTTTGGGCTTTCATGATGTTGAAGGCTATTTAGCTCATGAAGTTTATAAACTATGTATATTAACTATTATTAGCCTTGTATATCAGTGACTCTTTGTATTATTGCGTATCAATTAAGCAATGTGTAAAGTGCATTAACAATGATTTTTACATTTATATAATAGGAATATTGGATATTGGATTTTTATAATTATATTACAATTGGTGCTATTTTTGAATTTAATATTATTATTGAAAAAAAATCAAGAAAAACTCTACTAATATACATATTACCTTTCTTTTAAAAAAATAAAATTTTTTGATAAATATGACAAAAAAGATTGGTGCTAAGAATTATTTTTTTCATATTTCTTAGCTAAAAATATTTATATTAAAGACTTATATAATAAGTAAATAGCATGTTTAGTATATATTAAAGCCAATTGCAATATTTATGAAACTACTGAATTTTAAATTAAAAAATAATAAAGAGAAAAATTAAAAATTCAAAGAGTTTCTTACTATCTTCATCTACATTATCAACATCAAAGAGTCTCATATCATCTTCATCTTTAATATTAGATTTAAAAATTATTTCTACAATTTAAATGCCTCTAATATCTTTCATAAATATATCTGATTCAAAATATTTTTCTGCAACAAATATGTCTTCAAAATCTTCAAAGAGATCAAAATTGCTGATTTTAAGAAATAACTTATCTTTTATAAAAAATAGATCTATTGAGAAAAATAAATATATACATATGAATTACTGCTTTTATTAAAGAATTTTATTAATTAAGCTATTAACCAACTTTTTACTTTTTTTTTTTTGCTTTTTTTTTACTTTTAGAAAATCTTTTCTTATTTAGAAAGGTAAATATCAACAATTTTCTGCATGATAATCTGAAATGATGTTATATTTGACTAAAATTAGATTTTTGTATATATTATAATTAATTATAACTTTATTTGATTATTGCTTTTAATAAGGATAATTTAAAGCTTGAAAATAATTTGACAATTCAGAAAATTATATATATATAAATGCAAAAATATCACAAGTGTTTTTATTTTATTTTATTTTTTAAGTTAGTTATAAATGCTAATAATAAGTAATATTAACAATAATACTATATATATATAGTAATACTATTTAAATAGGTGTTATTTGTATTGATAATAAATTATATAAAAAATATCACTATGACTTGATATAAAAAAATATTATTATACCTTAGATAATCTGGTGCCATCATCTAATATCAGTGAAAAAGTACAGCACTATATAAATAAAGTAAATATAATAACAAATATTAACAAAGCCAGGTATATCATTCAATTGTAGTCCAAAAACAATAATCTTTTTTCTTTAGATTTTGAAGAGTCTATGCTAAACTTCATCAAAAATTTATCTGAAAGAATGTGAGTTCTATTATTACTATAATATATAATATGAAATATAGGGG